TCTTCTTACATAGAATTGAATAAATTCTCATATAAAATCTTGAACTTATAAAATTTTGAATAAATGATGGATAGTAACCTTTTGATTTAAATCCTGTTTCATAATATTAATAATATTTGCTGTCACAGTTTGTAGCCTGGGATTTTTTTTACCAGATTAAATAGGTCGCAATATAGGCTGTATATAAAAAGCCTAAAAAAAAAAAAAAACTAGTGAATTCTATCTTATAATATTTCATACTATATCTTTTTTTTTTATTTTGTAATGACAAAACCGAAAAGCACTAAAAAGGCACAGCAGACAAAAGCTGTGCTAGCTCGTTCTGCACGTATATCTTATTCTCTTGTTGATCCTGATTCAAGTGAAGAATATGTTGATTCCAATGATAATTCAGATGAAAGTTCGGATGACAATTTTATGAAGCTGGATGACCTTGGTGATGCAAATTTAATAATTGAAGCTTTGACAGTAGATTCTGAAAAAAAAAGGCGCACTGCAACTTATATTGGGAATTCTAAACATACTAGGCAAAGAAAAAATAATGCCTTCAAAGAAGCGGCTGTAGGAAGTTATAAAATTACTCAATTTTTTTCCAATGCTCTACCAATAGTAAATAATAATCAGAGTTATGAAAACTTTTAAGACCAGGATAATCAGATAGCAAACTATTAAAAAAAAAAAAAAGTTTAATGTTTGATATAAGATTAATAATATTGGTAAATAGAGTGATGATGAATTGAATGAAGAATTGGACGAAGAATTGGACAAAAAAAAAAAAAAATCTGTAGTGCAATTGAATTTGTAAAAGGAGTAATAGATAACGAAGTGCTTTCAACAAGCAAAGAAGCTCGTTATTTGACAGTTCTTTATTTCCTTCGGCTACATTTACAAGGTCAAAAAAAATTGAAGCGTCAAAAATTGTCACAGGTATTGTTAATGGTGGGCTATGGCTTGCACGATACATTAGGAAGTGGGCGAACAATTGTATGAGAAATAAGTTAATTGAGTCAGATTTTCGAGGAAGATCTCCTTCAAAAAGCCTACTTCATGATGAGTTGGTTTCTCTTCAAGTGACCTCTTATCTGCACTCTAAAAAATTTACTAT